GAAGCTACAACAAATGAATTTTTCATAAAATGTGAGAATTAAAACAATGCTGAGAAAGTGTCTACTCAGCTTCGGGTGAGTACTAAGTGGGCATTAAGGAATGCTTTGTATGCATATCAAATATTTCACAACGGTAATTCCCAATCTCTTAGGATAGTTTTTACAACACACAAAATTCCTATGGCTTGTAAAGACCCAGTTTCAGAAATATACTAAGTAGTTAACAGAAAAGTCTTGCTTGGCAACACAGAAAACTACTTTAAAATACTGAAAAATGGGTAATAAATTGACCAGGAATATGTTATTTGGAAATGTAGAAATGCATTTTTTAAAATAGTGATTTATGTTATGAATCTGCACAGGGTCAAAATTCTAGTATGATTAGAAGCAGATGGTATCCCAGGAAAGTCAGGCTTTGGACCTGAAACTCCAAACAGGAAACATGGCCTTCGCTAGCTGACTGCTTCCCTAATCACTCCCAGAGCCTCATACTTGTTCCTTTTATGAATACCCAAGATGACTTTCATCCTTCCCATCCATTTACAAAGCATCACACAATACTCAATGTTTATATCCGTATGTATAAATTATGTTTATAATACATGAAAATGTAAAAAAAATAAATGTACTTTTAAACTTAGGCTGAGAGAGATTAATATAATTAAAAAGAACTCAAAATCAAGTTTGTTTCCTATACTTAATTTAAAAATAAAAACCAACAACTACTGAGCTGTTGGAGTCACTATTCAAGTAACTGTTGAAGACACGACTTTACTGACACAAATAAGTATACATTCTAATTTGTAGTGAAAGAATAAAAACAAACCCACAGGTTTTACTAAAATGCAATGAAACTGCACCACTTTCTATTAAGCAAATGAGTAGGGCACTGTATGAAGAAAGAAAAAGGCTTACCGTTTTTCCATTGTAATAATACATCAAAGAATTGCTGCCCATTCCAGGGACAGGATAAGCACAATACATGTTGATTTTGAAAATGCTATTTGCAGCTGACTACACAGCTCCTCTCCAAGACATATATCCACACAAGCAGTACAAGTCCTTAGTACTATGCATTCACACATGGAACTACTCAAAAGGAACTTATGCAAAATAGGACTGAACCAACTCACAGAGCATAGAGGGAGGGTTTATGCTGCAATCAACCTCTTTCAATTTCCACCAAGTCCTTGAATTGGTGGAGGATACCAAACTGACAAACATTTGGGGTGGTAAAATAAATATCCAAGTCACACATTCTAAATAAAAGATATTGTATCCTAAAGGTAAATGCACCAAGAATAACACATTTACTTACACACACACACACACACACACACACACACACACACACACACACACACACACACACACACACACGGGGGGGGGGGAGGAGAGTGCAATCTTCTACTAATCTGTTTTTAGTTTGAATTAAATTAGAGCACTTGTGAAAGAAAGCCTTGCTTGCTACACCTCCAGCAACATTACCATCTGGTATGGTCTAAAGTTGCTTTCAACTCTGATAAATATGATCAAGCAATCAGGAACTGGAAACACTGAATCATGTGGGACTAGGAAGATGCAGCAGTTAAGCCTTGTACAAAATCACTTCCTGGAGAAAGTGGACCATTGTTTAAGAATCACTTTACTGGCTAGAACATACTGTGTTTTAGAGATTTTTTGTTGCTGTTTGTTTTGTTCTTTGTTACACTGGGGGAAAAAACTTTTTAAGAATTGGAAATTATCTTAAAAATAAATTACCTGTGCTCAAAATGATATTCTTAAAAAAAGTTTAATAATACAGACTTTTATTCATAAAGTCCTTTGGATTTCTCATTTACAATACTAATGAAAAGTTTACAAAAGAATGCAGCTCTCTGAAACATCTAGTATGCAGTAACAATTTGGTGATGGATTAGGAAAAAGAATTTGTTTTAACGTAAAGAATAAAAGACTGGTGATTGTAGAGATAAAACATGCATTCTAGGTTGTAAACTATATGGTTTATTAGATGTTTCTTCTTATTCCTACAGAATAGTTATATACTTGTGTTAAAAGCCACATTTCTTAGGAAAAATAACGAATGTCTTAGATTTTTCTAGAACATAATACTACGAAACCCAAAGATTTGAAACTTTGCCTCTAAAACAGACACATTTAAAATTTAAAAAGTCTTACAGTTTATCATTTTGTGGAGACTCTAACCCAGGAAAATAAAATAACAAACTTTATTTTCCTCATTTACCCGGTTAACCCTCTTTGTATTATTTCTTCCCTCTGTGCTTCTAAGATAACAACCACACTGTGCAAAGGGATACATCACTTTTTAAAAAGACACTTTTCATGAGACAGAAAACCAAAAACCAAACCAATCTAACAGACAAAAACCCCAAACAAACACCTTTCTTAGAAAACACAATGATTGAGTCGCAGTAATAAAACAGCACAAGGCAATACGGCCGACTAACACAGGATTCAAAAGCTTACAGCACTGGCCAACAATGCGTGCTTCCCACTCTCCCCAGATAGAGAAAAGCCTAGCAGCAGCAGCTGCAAAAGAGCATCACTGCAGCAGCTATTAAATGCCAGTCTGCAGAGGGAGCACAGGCAACTTCCTCTCTCCTGAGAGACCACAAAGGCCTGCTTCAGCCCTTGGAGAACTGCATGAAAAGCTTTGATTTACAGTTAACAATGCCACATCTCAAAACCTTTTAAGTAAATTTTAGTCTTTCATAGACAAGTTGTTCTCTTTTGACAGAGTAACTGAAAAAAAAAAGATCAATCATCTAAGACAATATTTCCCTTTTTTATTAATTACTAAAACCCCCTAAATCTCACCTTTCAATAGCAAACATGGGGGAACAAGAAGAGGGAAACATTAATGCACTGACAACATTCAGTATTTTCCTTTTTACCTGGGATAACTTTTACAATGGGTAAGAAAGGAGAAAACTGCAGGGGTTAAGCTAAATGGGAGAAAGTAATTGTTAGCTGGTAAAACACGTGGTATAATGTAATCCTATAAGTAACCATGGCTATTATAACACAATGAAACAATTAGAATTTCCTTTCCAGTTTTTATTTTAGAGGCAATAATCTGAGGGGAACAAATAATTGGATCAACAACAACAAAAATTCAAAGTAAAACCAAACAAACTATTTTTTTTTGGAGGGGAAGCTATATAATCAACAACTAGTTAAGATTTACCATCCAGCTGAAATGTAGCAGGAAGGAGCATGCGTAGCAGGTCTGAGCACAGGCTGCTCTTTCAGGACTAGTTTCCATTCCCAGAACTCATAAGGTGGTTCACAACCGTCTGTAGCTCCAGTCCTAGGGGACCCAACACTCTCTTTTGTCCTCCGGGGATACCAGACACACATGTGGTGTACAGATATACATGCAGGCAAAACACCCATATACAGAAAATAAACACTTTTTATAATGATATAGTCTCTCACCCACCCCAGGTAGACCACCTCTCCCAGAGTGCACCAGCCACAATATATGCACACTATTTAAATTGAGAGGATGTTCAGCAACTCAACAAATTACACCTGGACATGTCGACATAACAGTGTTAATAGTTCTTCCTGAAAACCATTAAATCACTGAGAAAATTAGACTTTGTATAAGTTTTTCCTCAAATTCTACCTGTCTGCCTCAGCCAGGGCTTCTAAGTTTGCTATTCTCAAGCATCATCTTCTGGAAGTGTACCTTACCCATGAAAAATTGCAACTGGTTAATATGAATAGCTATTTTATCACAATTATCAATTACCTTCTATAACAAAGCCCACCAACAAAATCTCCAATCTATGAAACAGCTGCAGCTCCTTTGCCTGGGCTACTCATTTTACAGGGAACGCAACGAGCTGATCAAGTGCTGCCTGAGTCAAAGCAGTTGTTTAATCTTTGCCTTTTTTTTTTTTAAAGGAACATGTCAAGGGTTAATCTTGTGACTCAGTCTGACAAAACGAGTCAGCTGGAGGCAGGCGGATTTTCAAACCTGACTTCAGGCAGGCCTATAGCCTTCGCTGGAGGCTATATCAGACATTCTTCATCCTGACTGGTTTCACCCACAATGCTGCAGAAAACCTTATGTCTGATCAGACTTAGTATTCACATCATTTAATATAACAAGCTAAAATAACACATATGTTATCACAAGATGAGAATCACTGTGCATGCAGGCAATGTGATGAATAAAATGCCAGAGACCCTGAAGGAACTGACTTGGAGCCACACAGCTTTGATTAGCAAACGCAGGATTCCTGGCTTAAGGTTTATCGATTTTCACCATTTTTTCAAAAAATTTTAATTGCTATTATAATAATCATGAGGCAGAAACCTAAACTAGCTAAGTAAATGCTTTCTTTACCTCTTTTCAGAAGATTATTGAAAAACATATTTTCAATTAGGTCAATCAGGCCAGAAACTTTGAAACTCCTGGCTGCTCTACAAAAGTGTCTTTGTTCTTTTTCATTTTCTGTTGATTGAAAATAGATCATCCTTGTAAAGACAGACAAAACTAATTGCAATGATCTGTTTTGCATTTTCTAGTTTTTTATTTATTTCTCTTTATTACTGATATTTAGATCAAGGCAAGGGTCATATCTTGTTTTAATATGCTTGTTAAACTATCCTTAAGCAATGTTTCAAGCGACACAAAATTCTACACAGCTTCCTGAAGAAATTTAAAAGAATCACTTATATTGAATTAATCTAAGACAGTTAACAGTTAATCTTACTGTACATTCCACTATCCCCCAAAAACCAGAAAACCTGGCTAGGAAAGTAAACCAAAACACGACACAAATAATTCCTCATGAAAAGTTGACATTATGTCTAAGAAAATTAGTTTCTGGAAGGTAGACTTTAAGAGTAATAAAGCCAAATCTAAAAGTTCACATAAAATTAAGCCTTTAATCCCAGCACTCAGGAGGCAGAGGCTGGCGGATCTCTGTGAGTTCGAGACCAACCTGGTTTACAATAGCTAGTTCCAGGACAGCCTCTAAAGCCACAGAGAAACCCTGTTTCTAAAAACAAACAAACAAACAAACAAACATTAAGTGTGATGGCATATACCAATAATCCCAGTCAGTATTCAGGAGGCTGAGACCATAGGATTGCTGTGAGTTTGAGGTCAGCCTGACCTTGTCTCAAAAACAAGGGAGGAATGGGATTTGCAAATGTAAATAGAAATGAAAGACACTTTCCCCTCCCAATTTAGCCTGAAAAGAAATAATTCATGAGACCCAGTCTCCTAAACTTGCAGAACTTGGGGCAATACTGCTAAGTCAGATACCAAATAAGACACCCAAATTCCAGATTTCATATTTGACCAATTTTTGTAGTATGTGCTACTTTCATTAACAAAAAACAAAAAAGGTAATTTCTGAGTGCTGAAGAGGCTGTCCCCCAGTCCCAATACCTCTATATTCCCAAATGTTTACAACAAAGAAAACAAGAATCATTCATCCCTTAACCCCACCTTTGAGGTCTGTTGAACAGCTACTGGCCTAATCAGTGATCCTGCAACCACTCTCTGAAAAAAAAAAAAAAATCAACGACCTAATTTTTGACCATGAAAAAAAATTTCCATCTAAGTCTTAATTGTGAAGAGCTCCATTTTAACCAAAATCTATAGATTATGCTACACACTAGTACACATCATATGGCTCAGTGAGAGTGTGTGCTCAGTCTGCCCATAGTCCTGGTTTGACCTCTGGTATCATATGCAAAACAAAATGACACCCCTGAAAACCATTACTCAACACTGAGCAAAGACACAGGATACAATTCATTTATCGTGGGATAGCAAATTTCTTATTGTTTCTTTACAAATACCTCAAAATCTAATTTGAGGTCTAGAATTGCTTCATGATTAACAAAATAGAAAATATTCATCTGTATAGCTAATAGAAACCAACTACACATGACCTGCATTTTTCTGGGTAGGGGTAAAAATACTCGTTTAATTCCTCTTTTGAAAATCCCAAGCCTAGCTAGCTAGGCTTGGTGGCCTTTAACCCTAGCCAGCACTCATGGAGGGAGAGGCAGGTGGGTCTCTGTGAGGCCAACCTCATCAACAAACTGAGTTACAAAACAGAGAAATCCTGTCCTGAAAAACCAAAATCAACCAGTCAATCTCAAGGCTATACTGAGGAAGTGCTAAAAGCAGCCCAATCTCCTGGAGAAACAAGCAGGTAAACAAACAGTGCCCTCTGTGAAGACACCAACAGAACTGTCAAGTCACTCATGGCAGCACTCCTCCGCTGGCTTCTCTAGTGAGACAGACCTGCCACTACTAAATTCTGTAGGCACCCAAGAAAAGGGTATACTTCTTTTTGATCACACACTACCACGACAGAGCAGTTTTCTTTAAAACGTTAAATGGGTGTGTGTGTGTGTGTTTTGCTGTCCTCCCCCAGTACTACCAGTTCCCGCATCTCTTGGCTGTCCATTTCTTTCACCACATGAACTGGAGTTTGTCACTTTTCATTTATCACTTAGAATAACTTAGTAATGGAGTTATTAACTGTGTTGCAACTTGATGATTTTCCTGCAGATATCTCTATAATCATAGGATTGCCTACTACTGCATGTGCACACACATAAAACCAAACGACAAAATGACAAGGACCCACAGACCTAAACTTCCCCAAATACACCAGCGCTTCTAAAGAGTTCAAGACTGGCACAGAATTTGAACTTGTTAAGCAATCTAACAAAAACTGTAAACAAACCTTTTTATGAAATCATCTATAAAGGTGAATGTAGACAAGGCCTTAGAGTTTTTTCTTTATGTAACACCACTTCTGATTTCTTTTCTAGGCATACACTTTCTTCTAGACTGGTGAAAGTTTAACAGAAGTGGAGTACATTGAGATACCGTCATTTCCACATCTCTTTGCCTAGAACCATCCATGAATAGAAATCCAAAGCTCCAAATGTATATACATTAATTCTGGTTCATAATCTATTTTTGTTTCAATAAAAACTCTTTCTTAGTGGCAGTAATTTTAAAGACTATCTCTGAAAAATTGACACTAAGACTTTAAATTATAAGTGCCTCATACAATACTCAAGGAGTAAAGCAAGGCTTTACTTTGCCATACTTACCAAAAGAAATCCTAAAAATCCTAAAAATGCCTTATTTCTTACTTCTAAATTGTGCTGACAACTCTTAACAAAAGCCAGTAATTCTTCATTTTGAATACATATCCGAGAAAGGAGTAATAAACAGGGAAGGGGATGAAGAACATGTCAATGCTGCCTTTTCAATGTGGGGAAACAAATCAAGGGGCTGCAGAGATGGCTCAGTGGTTAAGAATACTTGCTGCTCCACTGGGCAATGTATTGGGCTGTATCCCTGTTGCATGTACAGGTTTTGCAAGTCCATTTCTTAGCCTAGATACACAGGGGAGGGCCCAGGCCTGGCCACAAATGACTTGACAGATTTTGATGATCCCTCATGGAAGGCCTCACCCTCCCTGGGGAGTAGATGGGAGAGGGGTTGTTGGAGGGGTCATAGGAAGATGAGAGGGAGAGGGAATGGGAATTGATATGTAAAATAAGATTGTTCCTAATTTAAATAAGATTATATATGTATGTATATGTAAATATAAATATATAAAAAGTAATTGCTGCTCTTCCAGAGATCCCAGGTTTGATTCCCAGAACCTACATGACAGCTCAGAGGTCTCTGTAACTCTAGTTCCTGGGGATCTGACACCCTCTTCTGACCTCCACACATATTACACAGACATACATGCAGACAAAATACCCACAAGTAAATCTATTTTAAAAGTATTACAAACATTATCTAATATTTATAGCGAGTTACCAGGATAAGTGGTATATCACTATAACAATGACAACTGTACCCTTCATAGTTGAGAGAAATGGGTTAAGCTACTTGGTCTAGACTTTCTATCAGATACATATGCACAAAAGCATTACATTCTCCCTACCACAGATCAAAATAGGTTGCTCACATCTCAGAGAATTAACATGTGATGCAAAAGAGCACTGGATGAGGAGCCAGGGCTCAGGTTTCAGCTCTGCCTTTTAAGAAAATGAGATTATAGATCATTCCATTTAATTGTTTCTTCCAAATATAGGCACCCATCAAATTATGCTGAAGATTTCTAGCACTTTTATTACTAATAAAGCCTTTCATAAGCTCATATCTGTAATATCAGTACTCAAGAGGCAGAGACAGGAAGATTACCATGATTTTAGGTCAGCTTGGGCTACATGGTGAGACCCTGTTTCAAAAACAAACAAAATCAACCCAACCAACCTACTACTTGCATGTTTTATTATCTACTGCATCCCCAAACTCTGAATTGTTACTTTCAAAGTTTTTGATTTAAGTTATTTTCTATTTAGTCACACTGAGTATTTTTCTCCGTTTAAAAAAAAAAACTAAAGCTATATAATTGCTATTAAGGCTTCTGATTAGAAGAGGAATGCAGTGCTTGCTGTAGTAGCACATACACTAAAACAGGAAGAACACAGATAAGATCATCATGGACCCTATGCAGGCCAATACACATATTCATGAAGCCAGACACATCTTATACTTGTTGACTCAACTATCAAAGGAAAGAAATTAAAAGCAGTGAGGTGCTGCTATGCTGAAGATATGGAACAATTTTCATTGTTAGTGTGCCTTATTTCCTTCTAGTGAGCTCCCAGTTAAGTATTCTGAAATATTTTAGAACTTGTCATATGCTCTTTCTGAAGCCCAGAGTTGTTGCAGTTGATGTCCAGTGTCCATGGCAACCTTAGATCTTATTTTCACAATCACACCTACTGAAAAGCCTAAAGCTTTACATGAAATGAAAATTAGATACAGGAAAGGATCCCAAAAACCTCATTACAACTCCTGAGCTTTAAGATAAGCATCCAGAAGCTTTGAACCCTTAACGTGTGCTGACAAGTGAAGTATTTGTGGCTATTGCCTGGTAATGTGCTCATTTAAAGCAATCATCTATCTTAAAAACTATGGAGTATCTTTAACAATGGCAACAACAACAAACGCTGGCAGGTTATCAATAGTTAAAAACTCTTACCCAACTTAGGCATTATTTACTCAATAACAATTTTGACATGTTAACAATGTGCATCTATACACAGGTCAGACACTTCGATTAATTTGGCCCCTCTGGAAAATGTAAGATTTGTGGACAAACCTTTGAAATAACTACAAACTCCTTTATGCAGAGAGCAATGAGTAACTGAGCTGGCAGGAGAACACCTCAAAGGAGTGAGCTGTGGCTCTTATACTACCCTTTAACAAAAATCCAGGGTCTATAACATGCTTCTTTGTATGTTCTGGCTGGAAAATTTAGTAGAGCATTAAAGGGGACTATGAAATAAATGGCTTATAAACAAAAATAGCTGCAATGAGAAGAGAGCCCAAGAACTCACAGGATAAAAACCAGGCCCACAACATCACACTAACTTTAGAGTGTGACCAGGAGGCCATCTGATTCCCTAACCATGAAAAATTCAATTCTGGGTTACTATTACTAAACTTGGATAAAGATCCACACGATCAAAACACTCATTTTCTAACACTAGGACTCCATGATGAAAATGAAATGCATGCCTCCTAGTTTTCATGTATCTAAACTGAGAGTCTATGCTCACAAGAATGGAAATAACATTGGTAAACTTTGTCAATCAAAAGACTTTTACTTTTCTAATGAAAAACTGGAGCTCTTCCCATCCCCATCTTCAAGTATTTATAAGCTTTAAGCATATGTTCTATAATGTAAAGACTAAAATATGGTTACAGTTTTCCTTCTCTGAAGACAATTCAGATTAGCTTTTGTAGTTCAGACCACCTTCATATCAATTAAGCAAGGTAAAGGAGGCAAAGGCAGCAATAGCCATACTGCTAGCCACCTGGATTTATTAATTATTTATTATCGATTAGGACCTGGAGACAGAAACAAACAAATAAAAAACTCCAAACCCAGCATGAACCATAACCCTACTTTATAAAGTAACCAAGGTAAAGAATAAACTGGATAAGCTACAAAGAAAATTACAGTAGGGAAGGGGTGATTAGGTGTTATACTGCCATTTTACACAAGGTAGCCAATACAGATCCCCACTGATCAGAGAGAAAACTAGCCATGCAGGTACAAAGGAGTGGGGTCTAGCAGAAAGAACAGTAAAAAAACAGAAGGATCTGAGGCTGGACTGAGGGGAGGGGGATGGCAGCAGAGGATCTGAGAGGGAAGAAACAGATGGGTCATGAGGGTCTGGTAAGCCACTGTAAGGATTCTGGCTTAATACTGGTAAGTAAAGTCACTGCAAGATTTAAAGTGGAGGAATGATATGATCTGACCTAAACTGTTAAGCATTCTCCCTTCATGAAAGAAACTGCTAAAGGAAAACTTCAAGACTAGCTGCGGAGATGTTGTAGTAGTCTGAAAGAGAAAGGGGACTTTGACAAAGATGACAGTAAAACAGGTGCTGACAGATGGTAAAATTCTTGAGGGTGTTTTACTATGAGAAATATGATAT